TATGCAGTATGAAAGAGTATTCATGATAAAAACGCAAGTTATCATAACAAATATTTCTCGGCAGAAAGCAATTCAGCATAAAAAGTATCGGTAGAAAGCAAGTCAGCATAAATACATCCCGGAATAACTGTTGGATTCAGGGTAGGACTCAGGAGCGTAACTTTCGGTCGTAAAAACCAGTTTCGGTCGAACACTAAAAAATACTTTTGAAACAAATACTTTTATATGAACGCTGAATTATATGCAAACACTTTTCTCTAGTCTATTTTTATTCCAAACATTCGTAATAGAATCAAATCAGACATTATTTAGGATGAAAATGAAATTCCGGATTTTTTGAAAAATCGTCAAAATATCAAACTTTGACCCCCTGTAGAATCCAAACACCGGCTTTCAGAGAGTTGGTGCAATGGTAACTTACGTTCAGGATGGCATAGGATATATCATATTGAAATTTCAGCGATTTTCACCAAAACCGGTTTTCCGTAAGATTAGTGCGGGGTCCTTTGTGTATTAGAGGTTTTCCCCAACAGTGAATTAAAATACTATTTTGTTTTATTGTAATTTCTGAAAGTAGTGTTCAAGATATAATACAGAATATAAAATCGGAAGCATTTGGTAAGGATGGATTGAATATAAATATCATTCATTTATTGTGTCAATCATTACTCAAATAATAAATCAATGTTTGATAACAAATTAATTTCCCAATCATTGAAATCTAAAAAAATATCCCTTTACCTGAATTAAACCACCCAGTGGAGTTCGGTGACCTTCGTTCAATTAGTGTGTTCAAATTTGTTCAAAAATAATTGATAATATATTTATTGTTTAAGAATAGAATTTGGTTAACTTAAAAAATCAGTGGCTTTGATAATTAGTAATACAAATGTATGAAACTTTTTGAAAAATCATGTAAATTTATTAATCGGTTATGCAAAAATACATATTGAATCATCTCATATAAGTTTAGGATTGTCAATCAATACATCTCTACGTTGCAGAGAACATGTTACTAATAAACTAAAAAAATATGTTTCTTCTTTGAAAGTAATCTACTCCCAGAGGCAGTATTATTCAGTTGATACTAAACATATGCTGAGTGATTCTCTAGTACTATCACATTTTAAATAATGCGATGAAGATGCAACTTAAATGGCTCACTATGTACAACAGACGACATCATATGGCTTACATGTTCTACAATATATTCACGTCGGGTACACCTCCCTATTTCAGAACTGACCTACACAATCTGAACATTCGTTGACAAACAATTCTTACAATACAAAAACATTCCAAAGAAAAATACTGCCGTTCTTTCTCCTACAATGTCGCATCATGCATCAATAATATCTATAAACTTGATAGTTAACTTTTGAATTCACCCAGAAAAGTATTTAGTTATAAATTAGAGTATTCGATGAGCATTCAGTAAATCTAACTTAACACCTGAAACACTCTCTATTATATTACCTTTCTCTTGACCTAACTTTCCCTTTCATCTTTTGACTATTTTCTACTATTCTTCTGTTTTATTTCTCCTTATTTGAAATATGTGTTGAAAATCATTTACCTGAATTATTATTCACAACTTTCTTAGAACTAGTGAAAGAACAGAAATTGAGCACACCCGTTATCTGAACCGGATTTCCATTTATTCATTTACCATGATCATTTTATGTATTATCTCATGTAATTATTATCTTATATTATGTCCTCTGCTACAACATTTATAATTTGTAGAAATGATAAATAATAAAAACATTTGTGATTATTATTATTATATTGATTCACATGCTAGGAATCATACCTTTATGTAGGTACGATTTCGCACAAGTTTCAAGGGTTATCGGTCGTACGAGAACTACACCTGTTAACTGAAAAACACATTTCGAACAAACTTTTTTCAACACATGCAACGAGTAAACAAAATTTGGCAATTATTTTCGATGATATAATTTTTGGTACATAAAAATTAGAATTTGAAATGATTGTAACATGTAAAGAGTAAATATTGATCCAAATCTATAATAGGAGGCTCACATTGAATATATTAGCTTCCATTCCATACTTTATTAGAATCCTCTCAAGAAATTTGAAACAAATCACTTCTCTTACACTCTATTATTAAAAAGTCTAATAGCTCATTTGCCAAAGTTACGAAAAGTTTGTCAAATGTGTCGAGTTGGCAAGGATGGTAATTATGAACAGGTTTTATGAAGGTAGAGGCTTAGGACCTCCCTTAAGATGAGCGTTCATTAGAAGACTGTGTGTTAGAGAGAGAGGGAGAGAAAGAGAGAGATAGAATTCTCAAGTCTCTTCCTAATTTTGACAAGCTGCAGTTACTCTTGATCTGTTTAAATAATTTCCAGATGGTGGCGGTATGAACTCTGGTTGTTAAAAAAACTCCTTAAATACAAACAATGTGTATACTAGAAATGTAACTAATTAGCTTAAATTATGACTCGCCCATTACTTGATGAAAATAATAACACTATACATGATAATAATTATAGAATTTTCAATATAAATTTCATTTAAGATACATTTAGCTAGACCGTAGCTTAATCAGTTGGACTAGTAAAAGTCCATAGTGAAAATTCTATAATTATTATGGATAGATAGCTTGAATAAGAATATATCAAATATATAGAATATTTACATACATCATAATTAGATATATGGATTTGCATCTCTATACATGATTATGATACTGATCATCTATAGAAGTTGAAAATAATTTGGGATTGTGCAGTTTGGCAGTTTAAGTCTTTGCTAGGAGAGATATGCCAAAAAGATTTGAATACTTCTGTTGTTTGTCTGGTGTGAACTATTGAAAAATACTCATCTTTGAGGCAGAAGAGGTTTAATAATATTTATAAGTTTTTTTTATTGCACTACGATCACAGAGGACGTAGCAAAAGTCAAACTTTCAAAAAGTGAATTCTCATTTACCATAAAAAAGGTAGGTACTGATTTTAACAATGTTTAAATTTTCAAATTAAATATTGAAATACATTAATGTTTTATCATCGACAAAGTTACAGTTAAACATTACATGAAATCAAGAATAGTTTTAAAAAAATATTCATGATAAGCAGCATTCACATATTTATTTTTATTAAAAACTTTCGTGGTAAATTTCAACTTAGCCAGCAGTTAAACGAATAGCGTTTATGTAAGAAATGAATGAACTTCTAAACTTATTGAAGAAAATGATATTTTTAAGTTCCTCAAGTTCCAGTCGAAAGTACATTACTACCAGTTAGTGACCTGTTAAAACAAAGTAGAATACATACAGAGTTAAAAAGATTGAATTCAGAAGTAGTATATTCTATATGTTTTTCAACTTGGTTTTGTAGGCACAAAGCCTCATTTAATTGATATCCTCGACTAACATATATGGCTGTTCCACCACCTCGATTATCCTTTCGACAATAGCTGCACACATGCATATAACTGTCCAAATTGATTTGATCTACTTCACTATCTTTGCACCAGTGCTGTGGTACATAAAAAATACCTGGACATTGCTCCATTAGTATGACTTCAACCTTGCACTTGAGGCCCCTTACATACAGATGCATCATCCCGATTTTCTCCCTACCCTTACATTCCTTATTCAGGTCAGTGGTGCACTTTTGTTGAAAGTTTACTGAAAATCCCCTCCATCGCTTTTGGGCGTTTCTTGAAGCCAAACAGTTCGATAACCACCTGAGTGGGCCAAAAATTGAGTTAATACATGATATTTATAAGAACCAAAGTGGCCATAGGCATTATAAGAAAGATTATATCATCAAAGGTTGTTGCAAAATGAACAGTATGTTCGACAGTACACAATTTATGCAAGACATGATTATAGGTATGTTACAAACCAACTGCCTGGTAAAGTATATTTTGATATGATTAGACCTTCAAGTTGGTACTGTTCATTTTTTTCATTTTTTTTTTTACTTAGGTATAACTTCATTCAGTTTCAACATTAAAAATAGATAGAAAAATTATATACAGTTGGTAGTTTTACACAGGCCAACCTAGGCAAGGAATAAAATACGGCGTTGTCAGCGACAAATGCACCACAGTGGCAAGTACTCCCTTTACGGTTGCATCATGCATGTCAACGGCAATATATTTTTCACCTTCTATAACTTAAAACCGAGGTATCCCTACATTAATGGGGTTCGTAGCGTCATGGTAAGCGTTAGAAACATCCGGATGTTACTGCCAAACAATTTTCTTTCCTGAAATGTCAGAAGGTCGACCAGTTCCGAAAAATGATTAATGAACTACCCATATGTAGGTTCAAAGAAAATCAATTTTTATGCAAATATCTACTTTCCTATGGGTTTTATGTTCTTTGTATTCACTATAAATATTGTAGAGGATTGAATTCTCTACAACTTCCGTTAGATTTTTTTATATTTTGAACCATTTTCGAGATAGAGGGCTAAGAGCAGTGTTTAACTATTTAGAGAAGAGTATCATTCGAGGTCAACCGGTAGTCCAGATTAAAAACACGGCGTATAAGGTCTATAAATTATTGATTAATATATAATTCCAAATAATTTGCATTTTTTAAACTATTACCTTATATTTAATAATTTTTTTCATTAGTTGTGTATCTATTGATTTACTTATGATGCACTGTTTGGAACCTTTGGTGTAGTAATGAATATTACTGGAGTTTTTTCCCAACACCAAATCGTTATTTTTAACACCTTGACACGAGGTGTTTTAATCTTCCTCTTTGAAGATGATCACTTGGTGATCGAAACACGTGTCGAGGTGTTAAAAATAACGATTTGGTGTTGGGAAAAAACTCCAGTAATATTTATCTATTGACTTGATAACACTTACTTAATCGTATAAATAAAAAGTTATTAAGGGAAATACTTTAATGACATTTCAATTCTAATTTAATTTATACTTATTACTTTCTGACTGAAAAAAAAATAATTTTTGGTTAATGTTTTTAATAAAAAACACCATTCCATTTATGAACGTTAAAATAAAAAAAAAAGGATAATAAGACTACAACATTGAATTTCAATTTTCTTCTTCGTCATCATCGTCTTCCGCTCGCAGTAAAATTTCAAATTTTCTCTGGAGCTGGTGGCAAAATTGTCGTAATTGGTTCCAGGGATTCATCACACCAATCCTGAGGTTTTAAATCGTGCCCTAAGACTGAACTTGACAACAAACACGGTTGAAATGTCGGTGAGCTGCTGCACTCGTTGGTGGAAGATTTGATAATTGCACAGATGCACAAGTTTGTTAAGTTTTGTTAACCTGCACTTTGCACTCCATTTTAAATACTGTTTGAGCCGGCATTTTTCTTCTTCACATGCTGCAGCAAGTTGATCCAAATTCGGAAGTTTCTCGAGTGTTCTTAAAAAAGTTTTTTTTTCTTTTTTTAAAGAGCGTAGAAGTCATGTCACAGCCACTTACTGCGTGCAGAAACAAAATGTGTTTTTTAGGACGATGATATTCATCAAAACTTTTGGAAGAGTGTATTTCAGTTTTTAATTCCTTTGCCAACTTTTTCACAGAAAAATTCTTGTTGATGAGATAGGGTACATCCAATTAAAATAACAATTAAATCTATATCTTCTCCTATTATAATTTCAGTTTTTTCATGATTTGATCCAATGGTAAGAAATCTGCATCGTCTCTGGCCTATTTTGTTGTAATATCAACAGCTTGTAATTTTTCAATAAGCATATTAATTAGCTTTTTCTATTATTTCGATTTGATAGGAGTTGCCATATTGTAAAATTTTCATGTACTGAAATTTTCGAAAACATTTACAAGTAAAATAACATGTGATGAAATATTGTGGAAAATATAGTAGTGCCCACCAAGTCTGTTGAAATTTCAGAGATTATTTTCAATATCAGTATTTAGTGAAAGTTATAATTGGAATCACTGATGTAGAATAAATCCAAGACAAACATTTTTCCTGAACCAGAAGATTTCTTCATCTCCTGAAAACTTGTCTGGTGAAACGCGCGTCGAGAAGAATACTGCAGGTCTGGTGCTTGTTTTGGATCAGTACTGAAATTACCAATATATTCATATGCGAAGATTATAAAGTAGAGTTAAAATAATTTGAAAGTGACAATGAAATATTCAATCTGAAGTGAAAATTACATTGTATTACCCAATATTTCTATTAAAAATTTACTGTTTGTAATGCACTGTTTAGAATCTTTGATGTAATAATGAATATTACTGGAGTTTTATCCCAACACCAAACCGTTATTTGAACACCTCGACACGTGTTTCGATCACCAAGTGATCGTCTTCAAGAGGAAGATTAAAATTCCTCATGAAAAATGTACTAGTTCGAAAACATCACTTACCTTCCAGTAAGTAGTAGAACACATGATAGTTTCGTTCATGGCGACCCTGAGAGCATATTCTGGATTTTTCTAAAAGATATTTCTGAACAACGGCTCCGTGTACCATTCCATTTTCTTTGTAGTTGACTTGAATGAATTTTCCAAAGCGACTAAAACACAAATAAATCAAGTTAATTCACATTACTATCTCTGTAAGTACAGATAATATAAAATGATGGATTCTATTAATTCTTCGGTAATTTTCTGATTGATTCGGCCGTTACTTGATGAAGATCCATAGTAATTTCAAAAACTACACCTCACGATTTGATCTCCACAAACTTTATTTGAAAAATATATCACAACATGTTTCGCTAACACAGTAGCTTTATCAAGTGATTTGAATACCCATAAATCACTAACACTACTGTGTTAGCGAAACATGTGATATATTTTTCAAATAAAGTTTGTGGAGATCAAATCGTGAGGTGTAGTTTTTGAAATGTATTCGGTAATTATCCCCAAAAATACTTATAGGTATAACCTCGATTTACTGTTGAACTGAAAATAATTGAGCCATTATATATCATTGAAGTATAAACTCGGTTTGCTAAAGGTTAATCACAAAATTATACTTCATTCAATCAATCCACGTACAAATAGAGGATAAACTGTAAGTCACAACCTTCTTGTTCTTTTCATGAATGTAGTCTGAATTCGACAACTCAAATGCCTACCATTATAAATTTAAGTTGTTTTAATGAAACGATTGTACGCAATTCCAATATATTTTTCAAACTTCTTTCACTTATAACTTTTTTAATTATGAATAGATTTCTATGAAATTCTGGACAAATGTGCCGAATCCAGTACATTTTTCAAATTTTATTCCGTAAAAATTTCTTATTGACGAAAGTTTGTAGACGTAATATCGACATAAACCATTTCAAAAATTCGTGAATCCATTGGTGTGGTCAAACTTTTTCACAAAGAATCCTGTTTTTTGTCATTGAAAAATATTTCAAAAGTAGGCCCTGAAAATGAATTCATTCGTGAACTCTGGTGTATTATATAGTAGACTTCTCTAAATTGGAAACTATTTGGTTTATAAAGATGCTTCTATTTTGTATGGTTCATACTGTATATGATCTATGCTTCCAGGTGTTCAACATGGTAGAAAAACAATAATTTTGAAAACAACTTCATATTGAATTTAATTTCATTCATATTCACAATACCACCTTGCTCGGATGACATGCAATAGCTATGGCGGCGACATTAGTTTGAACTTGAACATTACAAGCACAAGATCTTCTACCTGAAACAAAAAACCTGTGATTGACTCCTATAGAGCAAGCTTTATCCATTTCGTCGAGAATGGTCAAGTTGTTTGAAACAGATGTCTATGCATTTCTCGTAGCAAATGCTTCATCATCTTTTAAATGCCACTACTTGACACATTTGGGTGTTATCGAAGATTCAGTTTTCTCAAACAGTCCACTTTGGTTACTTCGTTTCTGGATGCAATATTTTATTTCACCAAGAACATCATACAAACAGAGCGATTGGGTCATGCACTGTTATGGTGCCAAAATAGATGTAAAATGAAGGGGTTGGTGCAGTATTCATAAGGCAACGTTCGTCAAACCCCTTGAAACTATAATCTTTCAAGCAAAAAAGGGGTGACATAGTATATAATATTTCAAAAAATTGTACTGTATAGCAGTTAAAAAATATTGTACACTCTATTGTATTAAGGGATTGATATTATTTTTTAGTAATATTGTCATAATTAGAGATATGTATTTAATTTAAAAAAAACAATTTTAATAAATTAAAAAAAATTAATATTTGATGTTCTGTAATTTATATATTTCGTCACCGTTCACAGCGCTCATAATGCTTCACTTATATCTTATATACCATATCCTTATACACTTACAATAGGTAAGCTATTTTTTCTAGAAAAATATTCTCTAAAATAAATTATATGACAAAACAACGTTTGCCGGGTCAGCTAGTTACAACAATGTCGTTCGTTTAATATTCAACATCATATGATCCTGCTTTCAGGATTTAATACAATTCAAGCTTCCTCAAGCAAGACTGATGAAGAGTTTTCATTGAAGGATTATGTTTTCTGTGTTCTATTGAAGAAGTGACTTGCTTAAAAAGTATTTTATAACCTATATAGGAATGTAGGCTTTCACTGCTGGCGTCAATATTTTGATTGGCTTCCGGGTTTTGCCGTTTGGTTATAATCTCCAAACGTTTTAACTGCAACTGCGTCTGTCATCTTCAGTAGCGTGGTCGAAGTACTCTTCTTGACTCTCATTTCTGCCGTGTCATTTATAGTGCTGATTTTCCGCGCACTTTCACTAATGGCGGGTTCGCGCGTACTTCCCGCGCGATTTGGATGACTTAGCTTCGTTTCGGTGCTTTTCAATGCTGTGTACCAGATCTTTCTGTTGAAGTTCTCTTGTGTATTTCTGTGGCTTCTAAATACATTCTTATTGAATAATGATTTGACGTTGCTGGCCTCTCGGTATTTTCAAACAGGATCTTGTGTTCCCCGTCGGACAGTGCATGTTCAGCGACTGCAGACTTCTCGGTGTATCCCAATCGGCAACTCCGCTTGTGCTCGACTAGGTGGGTACCAATGCTTCTTTTCGTCTGACCGATATAGAGTTTAACACAGTTACATGGAATCCTGTAAACTTAAAATGATTTGAGTGGGATTCATCTGTCTTTTGCTGATCTGAGATACTCTGTTAATTTTCTTCTTCTTCAGAATTTTCCCGACTCGGTCAGTGTCACCTTCTATGTATGGCGGATAGACAGTGCCTTGGGGTTGATCTTCACGCTTCTCTCTTAGACGCGTAGCGCGTATTACGTCTTTTCTGTCATAGCCGTTCGCTTGTAACACAGTTGTTAGTTGAATGATGGTTGGATCCAAAACAGAAACGAACTGTCATCAACATCCTAGTGAACAGAGCTTTGTAAAAATAAACAAATGACAGTGCTAGCTTTTCTTCTGAAATTGTTAATGTAAATTGGTCCCTGAAAAGATATATTTTATTTATTTATTTACGGCTTTGCCTATTTTTTAAAAATAATTTAAAAAATCACACGTATGTACTATATCAGCTAGATGTAAGGAAATTATTTAAAAAAAAATAAGAAAGGCAAAAACGAGCTAATCAATCACAATATTTTCACTCTTTTTTAATGATTCCAGAGAAGAATTGAAAAGTTTTAAATCCACATTGTAGGTATTAGCAAGTCTCAAAATTCTACCTATGGACTCATTCAGGTCATAGTTAGTATGATGAAAGGGTACTTTGAAAATGTCTGTATCTTTTGTTCTCTTTGAATTCACATTTAAAGTTATATTTTCACAAACTACACTTAAACGATTTAAACGATTATGTGTAGCAGCAGCGATTTAAAGTTATATGTTCAACAAGTTCTGGGAATTAATTTATTATTATGTGAATTAGTTCAATATCTGATTCTAATCTTCTATGAGCCAGAGTATTCCAAGTTGAGAATGTCCAATATAGATTCATACTTATATTCACCAATATGATATCACAGTTTGTATGCAGAGTACCTTAAAAACTTGTTTTGAATACTTTCAAGCATATCAATATCCACATCATATGAAGGGCACCAAATTTTGGAGTTGTTTTGATCTAACAATTGAGCAATATATGATTTTTAAGGAAGAGAGAGATAATTCCTCCGCAGATCTAAGAGTGAAACCTAACATTTTTAGTGCTCTAGAAGTAAGATTTTTTTTGTAATATACTTATTGATGGAAATTATGATTTTTTGAGAAGAAACGATTTCTTAAAAAAATTATTTGTTGATAAAAATGCGTTTATTTATTAACAATCGTATTTTGCGACTAAATATTAAAATTAAGGAACCATTTTTATCCAAAAATCATGTAATAAAGCTAGTGCAGGTGATTTTTCTGGACAATCAACTTTCAGACCGAAGTATGATCTTGCCGTAGAGTATTTTTTTTAAATATAATCAACGGTAGCATTATGTTCCATATAATTATCTACTACAGAAGAAAGAGGAATATATATACACCTCCGATAACAATTGTTGAAGCCTCTATTAATAATTTAATATACGAGTGTTTCAAATTCGTTTCGAGGTGTTTCCGAGTATATCCGGAGATATCCGGATATACTCGGAAACACCTCGATATCCTTTTCGATAAAAATTAATAATTTGCAGATAAACATGAACCCGGGGAAATCTACACGTCGAATTTCCTGCGAAATGAGCATTTGTCATACAAGTGCTTGGGGAGACATCTCAAAAAAAGCTGTTTAAAATGTTACAAAAAAATTGCATTCAGGTGATCCCGAAAGGCGGTTAAAATTTTATAATTGGCAAATAAGAAGACCTAATTTTCCTGTTATCCTGGAAAATATAATTTGGACAGATGAAAACACTTTTATGAATTGTGGGATATTCAACAGAAATAACCAATACATTTGGTGCATAAACAACCTCAGGCAGTACCGAGAAATTCGACCTTAAGTGCGATTTAGTATTAACGTGTAGGCAGGAATTTACAAAGATAGAATTTTGGGTCCTCATTTATTTGACGGAATTCTGAATGGAGAAACCTATCACCTGTTTTTAATGTCGATTTTCTAAGACTATTTGGATGATCTACCTTTGGCTAACTATAACAACATCTGGTTTCAACATGATGGTGCTCCACCGCACACTACCCGACGCCGACGATTATCTAATTACCTGACTGATATTTTTGGTGAGAAATGGATAGGGAATAATGAACCGGTGAGGTGGCCAGCAAGGTCTCCAGACTTCAAGGGCACAGTTGTGTTATCATGAACAAGGCCAGCATTTTGAGCATTTGCTGTGATTTATTTCTGTCGTTACATTTTAGTTAATTATTGTTATTTGTTCAAAGTTACCTCTTAAACACCTCATTTATCAAATTTTGATTGTTGATTCTGTCTCCGTATTTTTTCATTGGCTTTGCAAACGAATCAAACTCGGTGAGATTTTCGTCAAATAACTTGAACATAGTTCGATGTGGTTTTTGTCTTTCGGGATACAAGTTTCCGATGTCCTCACACTGTTTCTATCGTATTTGTGACACATTTATATCATATCT